TGTTTTATTCTTTTATCAAATTAACTTATTTTAATTAGTTACTATATTTTGAAATTGTATTTTCAAAAAATGTATAAATAGAGGTGTTGTCTGAGCCTTAACTCGACATGTTATAATTGAAAATAAAAATCTCTCTTAACAAAAACCTTCTTCCAAATACTTCCCACCTCTTACATTTTCTTTATATACTTCAAATCTTATGTATAAGTGGTCTTATATCGTATTGAACTTATCAAATTGCTGATGGCTTTATATCATATTGCACTGAGCAAATTGCTGTTATTGGATTATTGAGCTTTATATCATATTGTGTTAAACAAATTGCTGTATTGGAAATTATTGAAATTTGATTTATAAGTATTTTACTTTTTGTTATTTGAATTTTTAATTGTTAACGAATATTTCTCACTCTTAAGAAGAAGAATCTTTGTTATTGTTATTACTAATCATATTATCTTTAGTTCAAAAAGCTTTATACTAGTATAGAATTTCTCTTTAAATCTCCTTTATTATTCCTTTATTCTCTTTCCTCATTGACCTTTACTCTCCCATATTATTATTTCTTTTCAAGTAAACACAATTTCCATAGAAATTGGCATAGATCTTAGATATATTTTTTCTCTCTTAACATTTTCCTTATCAGTTTATACCCTCTCCCAATCCAGGTTCTCGTTTGTAAACTAATTTAATGATTAATGAACAAACTTGTAACATTTTGGTGCTCTCTCTGTGGAAGATTAAATTCTCTAGAAACTGAATTCTCTGTGGATAATAAAATTTATTACTTCCAAATCAAATCTCTGTAGAATATTAATTCCAGAAATTCACCTTTTATATTTAAATCCTCTTTATGAATGATTATTATAACTTTATTGAGAACCTATTAGCTCACATCTTGACACTTATCTTAAAGTTCAACATCAAGATACAATACCTCAAATAAAGCAACAATACTACTATCATATTTGGTTTTCACCTTCTGATACAACAACCAAATCTTTAGCTAACTTTCTTACTTGGATCTAAGAATGAGGTGCAATATCTGGATCCTTTATTACTGAACAGCTATTTGAAGATATCTATGAAGCAAACCTTATTACTATTGGAATTGAAAAATTGAGAAAATGAGTAATCTGACTATTAAATACCTTAATCTACTGGAACAAACATACAGTTGATCACCAACTACTATTAGTTAAAAGAACACCACAACTTGGAATTTGAAGAAGATTCTAACACATCTAATGGCTATTATTCCGAAACTGCCAGCTATATCAAAACAATAGAAGACCAACAAATAATCATCGAAGAAGTAGAAGAAGAATAATAAAAGAACAACAAGATATTGACTTTCAAAAACAACTAATTATACAAACTAATACTGAAAAAGAACTTGATATTTCTGATCAAGAATAACTATCAGAAGAAAAATTAAACTCTGAACCTGAAAAAATAACTGAAGAATCAGACAACAAAGAAATAGTTGCTGAACTAAATGATATTCTTATTGGACTAAATGCTCTTACTGCTGCTTTCACTGTTGGACTAAGAGCTGAGAAGAATCACATTCCAATTCGCAAATTCAAAGGTGACGATCAAAACCCTGATGAATGACTCAGAGATTTTGAAGTTGCTGCCATTGCCAATGGATTTACTGATGTTCATAAAATCCAAATAATATGTGGATACTTAGAAGGTGCTGCTGTTGCATGGTTTGATCAAAGAGCTACTAACAATGCTCTTGTCCTAACTAATTGAACAAATCATGGAAATGATGAACATGATTTCAAATATCACTTTGTTTTAATAAAATTCCGTATCTCTTGCAAAGTTGAACAATGACAAAATGAACTTGAGACTCTTCAACAAACTGGAAGCATTGATAAATACACTAATCGATTCAATGCCCTCTTGAAGAAAGTGAATTCTACCAATACTTATTCATACGACTACAAAATCAGAACCTATAAATGAGGTCTGAAACCAAAGATTCGCAAATGGGTTAGAATAAATGCTGATAGAATACTATTAAACATCATTCATGTAGCCAAAACTGTTGAAGAAACCAACTCAAAAGAGCTAACCATCACATATCATCAAATTCAAAACAGATCAATATCTGATTTTACTCAACTTACAACTGTGCTTCAAAATCTAACTAGTAGATTAGATAGTCTAGAAGCACCAAGAAAACCTATTTTTCAACCAAGAAGCAATGATCAAAACTATTCTTGTGACAACAACTACCAACCATTAATTTGTTACAATTGTAATGAGATTGGACACTTATCAAGAAATTGTAATAAATCTTATAATGTCAGCTCTTATTAACAAAATATCACCAGAAATCAGCCAAACTGAAATAATCAAAATAACCAACCAAATAATAATGGCAACAATTCTGTGAGAAATAATTCTCCTCCTTCTAGACCAGCACCAACAAATACTAATAATACCAATCAAATAAATCTCTTGTCTCAAATTCAACCCTTGTTAGCAGCATTACAAGCATTAACTCCTGGCCAACAAACAGAGACAGCCAACTCTACCAACTCAATATTGCTCATTATCCATGATTACCTTGCTGGTGAAAGAAAAAGAACTAAACTAGATGAATCTGAAGTCACTGTTAATGAAAATACAATTATGGCTGGATCAAGTAACCCAACTACAGTCGAACCTCATTATACCGAACCTCATTATACCGAATTTTCGCTATACTGAAGGTATTCTGGTTTCCCCCGTTTTCGAAATAGTAAAATTCCCTCGTTATAACGAATTTAATAGTAAAAACCTCGTTATACCGTTACCGAAGTCCGATGCAGGATTTTTACATATGCTACTAATCGCTTTATACCGAATCACGTGATATGTGTCGAATAGTGATTGGCTGTATCTGATGATGATCATACGATTTTTGGTCATACGATCGAAGTCGTTATATCTGATATTAATCATACGATTTCAGCCGTTATTTTGTGTGTCAATATTTTTGATCGTATGATGTTAGCCATCATATTTCGTATCTATCTGTAGTATTTTTAAATTCAGTAATCATTATTATATTCGCTCAATTACGCAATTTCCGATCATACGATTAATGTTGAGACGTAAATATAATCAGGGAAATAATTTATCACTCACAAATTGCTATATAAACAACATTGAATCCATATTTTTAATTTGTCTTTTGACATACTCTGACAATTGATCAATAAAATGTCTCAGCAAACCAAACAACGTAACATTATTTCAGCATTACAAAAGCGCGAAATTTGCTTGCTAAAGAAAAATGTGCCAGAACCAAAAAATGTTGACCTCGCAAAACAATTTAAAATTAGTCCAGGCCAAGTCACAGATATTTTGAAAAATTCTGCCAAATGGCTCGCAATTGACCCGAATTCGTACCAAGCGAAATTGAAAAAAGCGCGTTTCTCGAATTTGTCGAAAGTTGAAGAAGCACTAATTATTTGGATCGAAAAAGCACTTGAATGTAATCTAACAATTACAGGCTCCCTCATTCAACAAAAATCTTTAAAATTTGCAGAGTTATTAGAAGTAACAGATTTTAAAGCATCATCTGGTTGGCTTGAGAAGTTTAAAAAGAGGTATTCTATTAGTGCATTCAATAAACATGGCGAGTCTCTAAGTGCACCAGTCAAAGAGATTCCAGAAATGAGAGAAAACTTGAAGACCGTCATTAAACAGTATCAACCAGATGATGTTTTTAATTGCGATGAAACGGGTCTGTATTGGAAGATGGAGCCTACACGTGGATTATCAACTGGACCTTTATCAGGAACGAAACAAAGCAAAGAGAGAATTACCATCTTATTAACATGTAATGCAACCGGCACTGAAAAACTAATTCCGTTATTTATTCATAAATACCAAAACCCACGTCCATTGAATGGAATTAGTAAAAGTTCATTACCAGTGGATTATTACTGGAATAACAAAGCGTGGATGCAAATTTCCATATGGAATGATTACTTAAAAAAATTAGACAACAAAATGCGTAGGGCAAATCGGAATATATTGTTGTTAGTTGACAACGCGCCAACACATAATTTACTGGATAGTCTTGACTTAACGAATGTGACAATCCATTATCTACCACCGAACACAACATCACACTTACAACCGTTAGATGCAGGGATAATCCATAGTTTTAAGGTTTGTACACTAACACAAGTAAAATATTAATTATCATAGATTATGTTCTTAACAATTTATTGTGTACAGGCTCATTATCGGAAACTGCTACTTGAAAAAAAGATAAAAGCTTTTGATAAACAACAAATTACTGGTAATGAGTCGAGATTCATTGATATTAAGAAAGCAGTAGATTTTGTTGCTAAAGCATGGGATAATGTTACTCCGATCACAATTACTAATTGTTGGAAGAAAACCGGCATTATTTTTTTCGAAAATAGTGAGTTAATTGACGAAGAAATCGAAAAAGCAAATAATATAATAACTAACATTACATCCGGACAACAACTATCTATTCAGAGGTTGATTGACAGTCTATCAGTCGATTCCTCATTATCTGCCACAGACTATATTACAATTGATGATGGTGACATGAGAAAGGAAATGGTGACAGACAATGAGATTGTGTCTTCCCTCTTTCCTATAGAAGAAGAGGAAGACAATGATGAAAGTAGCTCGACATCTCTCTCTACTGTCTTTACTAAAGATGCAGTAGTCGCATTTGAAACAGCGTTCAACTTCCTTCAGCAAGGTGACATAGAAATTAGTTATGATGAATTTAAAGCCTTTCGCACATTGAAGAGAAAGGTGGAATTGCATAGCATTGCAAAGCAAAAACAAACTCGAATAGATTCATTTGTTACTGATTAGTATAACTGTTTTATTATATTAAATGTAAATTGAAGTAAAGATATATTCATATTAAGTCTCATTATACCGAATATTTGCTTGACCTTAGGCTTACTTCGTTATATAGAGGTACCTCGCTATACCGAATGTCTCATTATACCGAATCGTGGATGCCTCCCCCGACACTTCGGTATAACGAGGTTTAACTGTACATAGAAATCCTGATTTTAATAATCGAATTCCCCTACAACACTTTTGTCCTTTTTGTCATCCCCTTCAAGAAGTCTTTTCACTTCAATTTTTCACCTTTCGTATTATAATTGAAAATATTGGAGCAGTCTCTTTAAATCAAATCACATATCTGTTATTCAACGAATTAACTCAAATCGACTTTGGAGAAGTACACCCTACTCGACTTAGACAAAGAATAGTCCAATTATTAAACACTTTATTATTTGATCGAGTAACTACTCAAGAAGAACAACTTGAATTAATTGAACACTTTTACCAACGATTTATCACTCAAGACTTTTCACTACAAACCAATTCAAGAACACCTAGTCATAATAGTGAAATCGACGAATACTATTCTGAAACCAGAAACTCAGAAGACACACCATC